AGTAAAGGTTAGGAAAGAAGAAGTAAATTATTGAAAGGGGACAAAGAATTAGGTAAGCTTTTTTAAAAAAAAAAAAAAGAATTAGGTAAGTATTAGATGCGTTCCCACTTTAGATCTATACACTTCTTTTCAATTTCCTCACAAAAGGATTGACTTGTTCTGGCATGTCATCAACTACCAAGAACAACAAATAAGTCCAATTGGCTGTTATTTTCTCATATGTACATGCCTCTGAAAATGAGATGTGAACTCGTTTTGGTAAGTAAACCTACCAACTTTGAAGTCCCATAGTGTTCATTCTTTGAAGAAGAAAATAATTACCAACCATAAATTGAAGTTTTATAGCGCGTTGATGTTCAGGGACGGATATACCGTTAAAGTTATGAGTTCAACAAAATCCAATAGCTTTGGCCTACACCTTTGTATTTTTTGTTAAGAAATTCATCAGATATATATACATAAATAACCTACTCAGAACCTAGTAAACAAAAAGGATTGCGGTTTGGAACTCACAAAATTAAAATCCAGCCTCTGTTGTTACAAAACAAGCTTTAATAAAATTCCTACTTGCCACGACTAGTCCACATTGACTAAATATTCACATGGCACATTAAAGGGATATGGAAATCAATATGTTCTAGGAAACAATACAAAACATTTTAGTTTCTTAAAATCATACTTATAATATTATATTTCAAAGTTTAAAAAAATGGATAATAGTGGTGTCCGAGTCGGCTTGCACGCAACTCGACTAATTGCACGGGATACTGCTACCTCTTACCAACAACATGTATCAAGTAACCCTGTCCACCAAGGCTTGGACATATGGAAAGAAATCACCTAGTAAAGTAGTATTTTTGCCTCCCCTAGGATTTGAACCTGAAGCTCATGGTTTTCAATCCACTTCATGACCAGTAAACTACACCCTTGGGTGTAAAGTTTAAACCTATTATAACATATTAACCATTTGAAGTCAATACTCCTTTTTTTCTTGCCATTTATTTTGAAAGATAGATATTTAAAAAAAAAGCTTTACGAGTACAAAGCATTTTTTGCCATAACATAAAAGTATTCTGCTAAGAAAACAACTGAGTTTTCTAAAAGGACTTCTGGTTAAAAGGATTAGGATTCTAATTCTGGTATGAAATACTGGATTATGTCTATCCAGTGTTTGTTTACGGTATTACCTAATACCATTATAAATTTTATAATAATATCTTGGTATTATTTGTTAATAATAGCATGATCAATTAACCTAGATATAGTTATCAACATGACAATGTTACCCCCTCAAGAGCCCCATTCACTTGTCATAACTGAAATATTTAATGTTAAAATTGGAAACAGAAACGTATCCAAATTTATCCAANCCCCCCCCCAGGGCCCTATCAGTTTCATAACTGAAATATTCAACGTTCAAATTGGAAACAAAATTGTATCCAAATTTATCTATCTTCATACCAAACCAAATGGTTTGGATTATACATCGTATTATCCTATTTTTAATTCAATGAACCAAATAAAGCACTAGTACAAAACTATGGATTATTAATGCCAATATTAATTCAATGACGTGGTCCAAGGCAAAGTGGAAGCCAAGAAAGCGGCTTACATTAAGTTAGTAGAGAGCACCGACGAGGATCAGAGGAGAGCGATCAGAGAAAGATACAATGAGGCTAGGAAGGAGGCGAAATTAACGGTCACAGAGGCTAAGACTGCTGCTTTTGGTCAGCTTTATGAGGAACTTGGGGGCAAAGGTGGGGACAAGAAGTTATTTCGGTTGGCCAAAGCGAGAGAGAGGAAGGCTCGCGACCTGGATCCAGTGAGGTGCATCAAAAACGAGCACGGTCGACTATTGATGGAAGAGGCCCAGATTAGGCAAAGATGGCAATCGTACTTTCATAAACTTCTGAATAAAGAGGGGGATGAAAACATCGTGTTAGGGCAATTGGGCACTCCGAGAGTCACCGAGACTTCAGGTATTGTAGGCGCATTAAGGTTGAGGAGGTCGTGGGTGCGATGGGTAAGATGAGTCGGGGCAAAGCGACAGGACCAGACGAGATTCCAGTAGAGTTTTGGAGATATGCGGGTCGATCAGGCTTGGAGTGGCTGACTAGGTTGTTTAATGTTATCTTCAAGACAAAGAGGATGCCTAATGAGTGGCGGTGGAGTACAATGGTTCCGGTGTACAACAACAAAGGGGATATCCAGAATTGAAACAACTATAGGGGCGTCAAGTTACTAAGTCATACCATGAAAATTTGGGAGAGGGTGGTGGAAGGGAGGATAAGGAGGGCGGTGTCTATATTGGAAAACCAGTTCGGGTTCGTTCTACTACGGAAGCTATCCACTTTATTAGGGAGGTTGGTGGAACTATACAGGAATAGGAAGAGGGATTTGCATATGGTGTTTATTGACCTAGAGAAGGCATATGACAAGGTCCCTAGGGACATCCTTTGGAGGTGTCTGGCGGTGAAAGGTGTGTCGGTGGCTTACATTAGAGAGATAAAGGATATGTATGATGGAGCTATGACTAGAGTTAGGACTGTGGGAGGTGACTCAGAGCCTTTTCCGGTGGTTATGGGGTTACACCAAGGATCTGCGCTCAGTCCGTTCTTATTTGCTCTGGCGATGGACGCACTAACACACCATATCCAGGGAGAGGTGTCATGGTGTATGTTGTTCGTTGATGATATAGTTCTGATTGATGAGACGCGAGGCGGCGTTAATGGAGACTGGAGGTTTGAAGGCAGGCCCTGGAGTCTAAAGGTTTCAAGTTGAGTAGGACTAAGACGGAAGTTCAGCGACGTGACGGGGGAAGCGGATGTGGAAGTTAGGCTAGACTCACAGGACATCCTCAGGAGAGAAAGTTTTAAGTACTTAGGGTCAATTATCCAGGGAGATCGACGGGGATGTTACGCACCGTATTGGGGTGGGGTGGATGAAATGGAGGTTAGCGTCTGGAGCCCTGTGTGACAAGAATGTACCACTGAAACTCAAAGGTAAGTTCTATAGAGCGGTGGTTAGACCGGCCATGTTGTATGGAGCTGAGTGTTGGCCAGTCAAGAATTCACATATCCAGAAGATGAAAGTAGTAAAAATGAGGATGTTGAGATGGATGTGTAGGAACACTAGGCTGGATAAGATTCGGAATGAAACTATTCGGGAGAGGGTGGGCGTGGCTCCCGTGGAAGACAAGATGTAGGAAGCGCGGCTTAGATGGTTCGGACACGTGCGGGGGAGAAGCCTAGATGCACCGGTTAGGAGGTGTGAGCGGTTGACTTGGCAGGTACGAGAAGAGGCAGAGGGCGGCCTAAGAAGTATTAGGGCGAGGTGGTCAGGCAGGACATGGCGCGGCTTCAGATTTCCGAGGACATGGCTCTTGATAGGAACATGTGGAGGTCGAGCATTAGGGTCGTAGGCTAGGGGGGTAGACGAGAATTCTTTCCTCTTTGTACCGGGTAGTCTGATAGAGTTTTGTTTAGGTTTGTTAGCGGTCTATGTTGTGTTCACATTGTTGTTTTGCATAGTTTTGTGTTATTGTCCTTTCACTTATTCGTTGTTGTTATTTTCTTTCTGACATATTTTTGTTGTTACATGCCTTTTCTCTTGTTTCTTTTCTGATATTATTGTCTCTCCTGTTGAGCCGAGAGTCTCTCGAAAACAGTCTCTCTACCCTTTTCAGGGTAGGGGTAAGGTCAGCGTACACTCTACTCTCCCCAGACCCCAATAGTGAGATTTTATTGGGTATGTTATTGTTGTTGATTATCCATCCTACATAACTGTCTCTGAACCAAACGACCCCAAAAAGTATCAATAAACAAAATAATGTGGGTATCACTTGTCAGGATGAGCCCATCACAATAGTTAGGTACCGACAATATTATCATTTTCGAGCTCTTTCTATTTTAGAGTTTATGCCCCAACTATTTTAAGTGTAGAGTAACGATTACTATTTTTTTTAAAAGAATTCAACCAAAAACATATACTCCATCTGTTCCAATTTATGTGAACCTATTTCCTTTTTGGTCCATTCCAAAAAGAATGACCCCTTTCTAAATATGGAAACAATTTAGCTTAAACTTACAATTTTACCATTAATGAGAAGCTTTTATAACCACACAAATACTCTGGATCCCTTTTTGACTTGTTCAGGATCACAAATTCCAAAAATCTTCATTTTTTCTTAAACTTCGTGCCAAGACAAACAAGTTCACATAAATTGGAACGGAGGGAGTATTTTATTTGTAATTTTGCTCTCAAGCCTACAGGGTACAGTTGTTGTTCACCTTCCCCCAAAGTCAGGTTATTATGCGTTACTTATCCGCCACGGAAGCATCACTTCCCGTCCCACTTGCATGTGTTAAGCATGTCGTCCGCATCCATTCTGAGCCAATCGAACTCTTCATAAGACTCATAGTTACATTATTTGCAGCTTCCTTATTCACACACAAAGCGGATCGGAATTGTCTTTCATTCCAATGCATAAATAATATCTGTGCACTTCATATTCGCTCGTAGTTCGCTCCCAGAAGTATAGTCATCCTTCTACCAGGTATAGATATGTATAACAAAGATATCATTGGTTTCCAAGACGATCGACTACGGAAGCCCTTCAGCTCGTTAGGAGATTGGTAAAACGGTATAGGGAGAAAATGAGGGATTTGCATATGGTGTTCCTTGACCTAGAGAGAGCTTATGACAAAGTCCCGAGGGAGGTCCTTTGGAGATGTTTGGAGGCTAGCATTGTTCTTGTTACATATACGAGGGTGTTTAAGGAGATGTTTGAGGGAGCTAGGACCCGGGTGACAACCGTGAGAGGAGACTCAGAACACTTTTCAGTTCTAATGGTGTTGCACAAGGTATCTGCTCTTAGCCCGTTTATATTTGCTTTAACGATGGACAAACATTCGCGTCACATTCAAGAGGAAGTGTCATGGTGCATGTTATTTGCAGACGATATTATTCTGATTGACGAGACGCTAGGCAGTATTAACACGAGGTTGGAGGTTTGGAGACAAACCCTGGAGTCAAAAGGTTTCGAGCTGAGCAAGACCAAAACAGAATACTTGAAGTGCAAGTTTAGTGACGAGAACCATGATGCGGACGTAGTAGTGACGCTTGACAACCAGGTCCTCCCTATGAAAGGAAGTTTCAAATACCTCCGATCAATAATCAAGGAAATAGGGAGATTGAGAAGATGTCACACATCGTATTGGAGCGGGATGGATAAAATGGAGGCTTGCATCCGATGTTTTGTGTGATAAGAATGTACCGCCTAGACTTAAAAGTAAATTCTACTAAGTGGTGGTTAGACCGACTATGTGGGGCAGAGTGTTGGCCAGTTAAAAACTCCCGTGTCCAGAAGATGAAAGTAACAGAGATGAAGATGTTGAGATGAATGTGCGGGCCTACTAGGAGAGGTAAGATTAGGAATAAAGTTGTTCGAGATAAGGGGGAGTGGCTCACGAGGAGGACAAGATGCGAAAGTGAGGCTAAGATAGTACGAGCATGTGAAAAGGAGAGGTGCAGATACCCCCATGAGGAGGTGTAAGGAATTGGTTGTGGTAGGCATGAGGAGAGGTAGAGGAAGATTGGGGTGAGGCGATAGCCAGGACACGGTGCAACTTCAGTTTACCGAGAACATGACCCTTGATAGGAGGGTGTGGAGGTCGAAGATTAAGATATAGGTTAGGGGTGGTTGAATGTATTCCAATGCTATTGTAGTATTAGTCTTGTATTTTTGTTCGTAGAGTTATATTCTACCTGTTATTTCTTTCGCTTCAGTTATTTTACTATATCGATATTGTTACTGCTTGTTGCTACTGCTCCTTTCATTTTGTCATTAAGCCGAGGGTCCTCGAAAACAACCTCTCTAACTCCACGGGGTAGGGTAAGGTCTCCGTGCACACTATCCTCCCCAAACCCCACTTGTGGTATTATACTAGATATGTTATTCTTGTTGTATAAGATATATCATTGGCAAGGAGCGGAAGACAGGAAAACATTTCTTAAAACGATAGGAAACTAGCATTTAAATTGGAGAGATTAACCTGACCCGTGACCCGATATTGGAAGTTCGTAGGTAAACTATGGAGGTCTGTATAAACCTAAGTCCACTATCACAAATAAAGATTTTTAGTTCGTGTTAATCTAGAATTAACTTTCACATAATGCAAAGTACCAACACATGATTTCTTTTTCCGGAAAAATATTGAAATTTGCACCTGAACTATGATTTTCATTGAGCAGTTCTGAACTATGATTTTTGTTGGTCGATTCTCTGCCGGTCGTTGCTCATTTTCTGGCTGTTGGACGGAGTCGCCGAGGAAATCAATTCTCTGTTGGTTTACCTCTCTAATTGCCGCCGTTGCTGCGAATAGTTGCTGTATACTACTATTTTCTATTTGTTAGATGGATAGTATGGAAATTGGGGGAAATTCATATTTCTATGTGATTTCACTAACAGGATATATTCAAAAACTAAGGGCTCGTTGCTAGTATAATTTATATTGGGATAAGTTATGGTGAAATTATTGTTTATTCATTGTTTGGTATATTGTATTAAGAATGACAATTAAATAATTTATAAGAAGAAGGAATAAGTTATATCGGTGCTAAATACTCCACCTTCTATAAGGTATAAGGTATCTCAGTGTTAAAATTAACACCGGAATAACTTATACCTGGCTTGCTAACCAAACGAAGTATTACGATGGTATTAAATTTTTATATCACCCTTATACCTTCTTATACCTCATACCAAACGACCCCTAACGGTGTTACTCAACTCTCATTCATAAAACAAATCTTCTACTCTAAAGCAAAACGTTTCCTCTCCTTTTATTGGATAACGCAAATTATCACTTTAATTCCTCAGTTTTAGGCAATTTCTTGTATAATTTTGACATGGATAATATCCCCTTATGTGTCAATTTTCAATGAGAAAATGGGATTGTATAACCGCTGCAAAAATAATAGCCGAAAAAACAATAAATTTGTATATAAATATATATATTATATGTTAATATAAAAAAATTATATAAATTTTATATAATTTTTCGGCTACCATATGTAAATAGCTTCTAGCGCAGGCTAGGAATGATCCTCGTTATTCGTTTGCTTCAATAATATGCATTCGTTTTCGACTTCCTCCATGTGTTACATCATGTTTATGCCATGTAAACAAAAATAGTGGATCGAATGTTTCCAGAATAAGATACATTCATACAAAGAAGCAGTTATAAGAACAAATTACAATTTGCTATAGATAGCAAGGCCACCACATTTAAATCAGAAAAAAAGTTATGAAGGCATCATGGCATCTCCTAAAAAATATCACCATAAACTGAATACAGCATATATCTAACATAAGGAAATTTTGGTGCCTAAATCTGGGAGATGCATATATCATGAGTTTCTGGCAGGAATATCTAGTTGTTTATGTTAACGTATAATGTGGCTGTGAATTGATTAAGATGGAAACCAACAGCAAATATTAATTTCATAGCCAATTGTCATAACATTTTCACCGCATATTTTCATTAATAAGCTACAACACGTGATGTTTTTAAGCCACAAATATCACAAAGGCATGTTTTTAAGCTTTTGCCTACAGTTTTTCAAGTTTGCATTTGTGGTGATAGGGTGACACTACAATGAACATAACGTGAAACTAGAATTAAATATTAGATCTAGAAGAAACTATAATTTTAATTAGAAAATCTCCACAAATGTCGTCAAATTGTTTGACAAAAAAAGTATGGGACCTTTTTGTTAAACTAATTAAATAAGAAGATAGAGGGTAAATCCTAGTTAAGGATAATTAATTCTAGATCTGAGATGAATAACATGAATAGAAAAATATAGTTGAGTATAAATGTTGCCCGTGCTTATGGCCAGATTTAATAGTATGAAAAAAGATGCATTAAGTAACATTAGATGGCAATAAAATGTAAATAAAGGAAAAGGTTCACCCAATATTGAGTGAGGCGGATCCTCTTTCATTTGATAAAGATGAATGATAGACAAATACAAGAATCTTAAGACCCTTTTCGGAACTGATGGAAGGTATGGGATAACAGATAATCTAATCTCTTTAGAGATACGTGTTTACATATTTTCCTGAGAGAGAGCCTGCCCCCTTCAGAAGTCCACCTCTCTTCACCTCTCTTCCTATTTATAAGGGATATCCCTAGAAAACCCTAAAAAAAAGAGTACACTTAGAGGGAATATTCAGTAGAATATCCCCTTTGAAGATTCCAAAGTAAAACTAGTCGTTACTTCTATCTGCACAGCTCGGCCTCGGCCTTATTGATCATTGCTCGGCCTCGGCCTTATTGATCACTGCTAGGCCTCGGCCTTATTGATCACTGCTCGACCTCGGCCTTATTGATCACTGCTCGACCTCAGCACTATTGATCACTTCGATTCGCATGTTACTCATGATAATTGCCTCCGCATGTCGAAATTCTCTAATTTGATTTTAACTCATATAGTTAGTCCCTCCGCTTATCTAGGTCATCTTTTGGTCGAGCTCGGTGAGCGGACTTCATTAATCGTAGTTCGAGAAATTCGGATGGGGAGGTCGACTAGTGAGAATTGCGGCTAAGGGTGTCGATCTTCAAGTCAAAGTGGTATCCCCGCGGGCTGAACTTGAGCAGAGTTCCATCAGGGCCAATGACTCGAGTGTCTTTGATTAGTCCGAGTGAAGTCAAACATTACGATATTTAACTCGAACGAGGTCTAGTTGTGAATCAAGTTCAAGCTAGTCGAATGCGAGTTGAATTCGAGCGAGGCCGAATGTCACTCAACTAATTTGAGTGAGGTCAAAGGTTAATTCAGGCGAGGATACCGAATATTAATCCAAGCAAGGTCAAATGTGGTTCGAGCGAGGTCGAATGTTGATTCGGGCAAGGCCGAATGTTGCTTGTGTAATTGATGCAACGTCGCTTATCCTTACGGATAAAATAAGATCTATAGGGATGTAAAAATTATGTAGCGGTTCATTTAGTTTACTAACTAAATATTTTTGATGACTGCACTTCTAACATAGTAGGTGGTTCTTAATCCACAAGTGATTCATGCTGTCAAAACGTTGAATTATTATAAATAATAATGTCGAAAGTGATCATTCATTCCTTTTGTCGCAAAAGGCCATTTCCATGATTGACGGGAAAAAGTTAAGAGGGGAACGAAAAAGGAAATATTGCAAGGGTTGATAAATAACGTGGAAGTAAATTTTGCTCATTGTTGTAGTGTAGACTTATGACTTGCGGGTGAGCTTCATGCACTTATGCTTTGCTTACACATATCGGAGGGATTTACATGTTATCCGGGCTGGCAATCCAGTCTCAGTCTATATGGTCTCTTGGCATCTTCGGATTTATTTTGACGACGATTGTTCCCTATTCACGTATTTGGGAGAATGCTCCTGCTTCTATTATACTTAGAAAAATAGTCAGTTAAAACCAAATGAAATCATTTGTTACCTCGATTTGATCGGTCGGCGAGTGGAGGGGAGTGACCACATTCCCTTCTTCGATTATGCTTTTAGTGGCCGCTACCAATTTGGCAAGGCTGTCCGCTTTGATATTCTGTGCTCGAGGGATTTGGTTGAGTTGGCATTCGTCGAACTCGGGTAACGGCTTGCAGATCCCGGCATGGTATTTTTGCAGTCTTTGTTCCTTGATTTGGAAAGTCCCTCTGACTTGATTGACAACGAGCTAAGTCACACAGTAGGGCGACTCTTTCTGATCCGTACTCTAGTGATAGTTTTAGACCTGCAATCACGGCCTCGTGCTCGACTTCGTTAGTCCATCTTCTAGACTGGCAAATTACTTCGCATGTTGGGACCTCGAGTTCGAGTCCCAATCCCGATTCTGACGCATTTGTAACCCAATCCAATCTTGGGTGCACCAAACCAATTTTGAGCTTAGGAATTTGGTATAGTGCCAATCTGGCATTCATATTCCATTTGGGCTCTATTTGACGGTGTCAACAAAGCTTGTGGACTTTTTTCTTCTTTTTTTGGCTTCCTCCATGTATTACATCATGTTTATGCCAGGTAAACAAAAATAGTGGATAATGTTTCCAGAATAAGATACATCCACACAATGAAGCAGTTACAAGAACAAATTACAATTTGCTATAGATAGCAAGGCCACCACATCTAAATCAGAAAGAAGTTATGAAGGCAGCATGCCATCTCCTAAAGAATACCACCATAAACTGAATACAACATATATCTAGCATAAGGAAAATTTTGGTGCCTAAATTTAGGAGATGCAGATATCATGAGTTTCTGGAAGGAATATCTAGTTGTCTATGTTAATATATAATGTGGCGGTGAATTGATAAAGATTGAAACCAACAACAAATATTGATTTCATAGTCAGACGTCATAACATTTTCACCATATATTTTCATTAATAAGCTACAACACGTGAAGGCTGAAAAAGAATTGTGCCTATCAGAAAGGACGAAACACCACAAGGATCAAAGTAGAGGGAGGAAGTTAGGCCACAAATATCACAAAGGCATACTTTTAAGCTTTTCCCTATAGTTTTTCAAGTTTGCATTTGTGGCGATAGGGTTAAATAGTTTTTGTTTAAGATGAAATAGTCTTCTCCCACCAAGTTTATCTAACATAAGGAAATTTTGGTGCCTAAATCTGGGAGATGCATATATCATGAGTTTCTGGCAGGAATATCTAGTTGTTTATATTAACGTATAATGTGGCTGTGAATTGATTAAGATGGAAACCAACAACAAATATTAATTTCATAGCCAATTGTCATAACATTCTCATCGCATATTTTCATTAATAAGCTACAACACGTGATGGCTGGAAAAGAATTGTGCCTATCAAAAAGGACGAAACACCACAAGGATCAAAGCAGAGGGACGAAGTTAGGCCACAAATATCACAAAGGCATACTTTTAAGCTTTTCCCTATAGTTTTTTAAGTTTGCATTTGTGGCGATAGGGTTGTTGAGTTTTTGTTTAAGATGAAATAGTCTTAAAATTAGAGTGAATGGGAAATGGGATTTGAATTTGGATTTCGATTCGGATTTGGTCAAATGATCGATCGATTGATTAATTTTTTGGACCAAATCTATTTGTTAATAATGAATATTAACGTGATATAATCCGTGTTTGTAACGGATGTTTTCCAATCCGTGTATTGTGTTGCAACACTAAGCAATAAGCAGCCTAGTGCACCTCCCACAATGGTGCAAGTGCTCCTCCCACCAAGTAAGTGTACATTCCACCATGTAAGTGCTTCCTCCATGATATCCTAGTGCTTGTTGCACCATGGAGGGGGCGGATTTCTCTCAAATAACTGCTATAAATAGAGCGTAAGTTGGAAAGAAAGAAGAACACATCGGAAAAAACACTCGAAACACTCTGTATACACTTAATATACACTCTATATACACTAGATATACACTC